TACTCACTGGAAACTCTTCTTCGACCTTCTTCCAAGCATCCACACCTCATCGTGCAACCAGAATTAGCTCCAAAAATACTAAAAATAAAACATAAAAATATCAAAGTACAAGAATCCATCTAACAAATAAATAAGTCGAAAGACATATAAGTACGACAAAATTAAGCATATAAAAATACGCTAATAAATATATAGTGTACACACTTTTTCCGACCAATCAGATTGTGAACAGGATTTTGTATAAAAACGTATTTCACTAATACGTTTTTAATTTTTTAATACTAAAAACGTATTTCATAAATACGTTGTCTATTGAAATTTAGGGCATAATCAATTTGGGGCTAAAATTAGGGCAAAGAAAACCAATTTGGGGCAAAATTACAAAGAAAACGTATTTAACAAATACGTTTTATATTTTAAATTTTTTTTCCCAAAAAAAATTATTTTCACGAATTGTGAAAATTGATTTTATTTATAAAACGTATTTCTTAAATACGTTTTATAATTTAAAAAATAATATTAAATTAATTTTAATATAAAAACGTATTTATTTAATACGTATTGTATTTTTTTAATTTTAGACGTATTCAGCAAATACGTTTTTGTATAGATTAATTACGTTAATTACGTTAATTAACTTTAATAATTTTTGTTTTCGGAGAACGTATTCACTGAATACGTTTGACAATTGAAAACGTATTCAGTGAATACGTGCTTTCTATTTTGGTCCAGTATATTTTTTTTTTTTTTTTTTTTTAAAAAAAAAAAATGTAATTACATTACATTAAAATAACAACTAACATCTTCTCCAAATCGATTGATTGTTAAGAGCATGCTTGGATACAAAATTTTTCAAAAAAATCCAAACATTTTTAACTCAACCACTCATGTTAACTAAACTTTAACTCAACCCCACTATCATCAATATTATCAATATAATTAAACAATATCAATCAATCATTCTTACACACTACATTACATTAATTCACTATTCATCCACTCACATAATTTTAACTAACCACCACTTCAAATCTTCTCTCTCCTACTTTACATCAAATCAACTTTAATCATTTTATTTTAAATATTATTCTAATATACTCACTAACAACTTATCATACCAACTTTTTCTACTCTCTGTTTTGTTCGCGCAGACTGGTGGAGGAGAAGATTTTTTCGTACTTATATTTTGTTAAAAACCATATTTTGCAAATACGTTTTCATTTTTTTTTATTATATTATGAAACCGTATTTCTGAAATACGTGTCAAAAACATAAATTGATTTAAGGTTTTTAGAAAACGTATTTCGGTTATACGTTTTATTTTAATTTAAAATTTTCTTAAAAATTAATTAATAGTTTATTTAATGTAAAAATTGTATTAATGAAATACGTTTTATAAAACCTAAATTGATTTAAGGTGTTTATAAAACGTATTTCCGTTACACGCTGTACTCAAATTTAATTATAGTAAATTGAATTAGGGTTTAAAATTAATTTAGGGCTTTAGGGTTTCAAATTGATTTGGGATTTTCAAGAAAACGTATTTCTTAAATACGGTTTTAAACCTAAATTGGATATACAATTTTCGGCAATATATTTTTCAAATAATTAAACAAATTTAATTTAAACACGTATTCAAGGAATACGTTTTTTACTAAAAAATTATATTAAGAAAACGTATTGTGTAAATACGTGTTTTTGATTTCAGGCAACTTATTTTTTTCTTTTTTTTTGTCCACTTATTTTTCAAGTTTTTTTAAATAAATTACCCACGCAACATGTTGCTGTCCAACACCAATTATTATTACGTACCGCCCCTCTTAAATAATTTAATTATTACAAAAATAAATTAAAAAAAAAACCGACCTATTTTTCTTTATTTTCTAGAAAAAATGTGAAGGGCAAAACGGTCCAAAAGAAGGCGGTACGTAGTAAAAAGGGAGCAGTATTTAGTAACACCTAAAGTAAAAGAGAGATAATGTAAAGTGAAGGTCAGTTAAAATTATGTAGTGAATAAATAATGAATTAACGTTGATATAATAGTGTAAGGATAATGGATTAATATTACTTAATTATATTGATAATATTGAAAATAGTGAGGTTGAGTAAAAAAAATTGGGTTAAATATGCTTGGATATTATATCATTTTTATTTTTTTTTTATTTTTTTGTGTGCAGAAAAGGTATGTGGAATCGCATCATTTCTTATATACAAGCATCCCCTCCTATACATGGAATTGCAACAATTTGAACACATTCACATTTCACATCAGTTGTTCATAGGAACATACGTGATGCTTCGAACTTCAGTATGTATATCCCGACTAATAACCATAAATGGTAAGTAAAACTTTGTTGTTCAGCTAATCATGCACCGAGCTTTGTTCCTAATTAGCATTAGAAAACTGGCATAAAATCATTAAAACCATTGTTTGAACAATCCAACACATATCTAGAAAAGACCAATGTCAAGCAAAAAGCAGAAACCCTGAAAAAAATAGTGCATAACTGGAAAAATTCTTTTATGAGTGAGGCAGACAGAGACATATTAATTAAAACAGTACTCAGTTCTTTACTTGTATATGTTATGGCATGTTTTAAACTACCCGTTTCAGTGTGTCAAGATATGGCTATGTCTATTATTTCTTTTTACTGAGGTAAGACAGATAAGGGGCAGGACAAAATTCACTGGGCTTCTTGGGGGACATTGGCTAAGGATAAAGAGGAGGGAGGTTTAGAATTTAGGAATTTGGTAGAGTTTAATGAAACTTTGTTAATGAAGCAGTTGTGGAGGTTAATTACTCAACCAAACCTTCTTCTCAGCAAGGTGATGAAAGGGAAGTATTTCCATAACACAAGCCTGTTTAATGTGAAAAAGAGAAGCAATGACTCATGGTTGTGGAAAAGTTGGATTAGTGTCAGATATAATTTTCAGGAGGGTGTTAGATTTCACGTAGGGGATGGGTTTAACATTTCTGTGTGGGATTCTCCTTGGGTACCTAAGTTAGAGAGGTTTATCCCAATTTGTCAGTTCGAGAGAGATAAAAAAGAAGATTTTCTTAGTTAGTGATCTGATGGTGAGGGGGAAAAGAGTATGGGACAAAGACCTTATTTATCAGACTTTTGGTCCATTTGAAGCTAGAGCAATCATAGAAATCCATCTTAGCCACCTTGTTAAAAGAGATAGGCTAGTTTGGCATGGGGATACCAAAGGGATCTTTTCAGTCAAGCCTGTCTATAAAAGCTTGAAGTGTAATAATGCATGGGCATTGATGAGAGCAGGCACAAGCAGAGGAGACAATCAACATAAAAGGATGTGGGATAAGACTTGGAAATTACCATTGCAACCAAAGCTGGGGAACTTCGTGTGAAGAGTGTATCATGGCTTCTTGAGCACCAACAACCAATTGGTTAAGAGAGGTATCAAAGTTGACAACATGTGCAGATTATGTGGAGAGAAGGAGGAAGATGTGGAACATTTATTCGTCAACTGTGTCAAAGTGCAGAGGTGTTAGAAATTGTTGGGGATTGACTAGGATGATTTCAGGAGGCCAAAACTGAAGCTCCAAAACTGGTGGTGGGACGTCAATAGTAGTTCAAAGGCTAGACAAATGAAGGACATAGTCACCTAATCACTCTGTTTATTGTGGAGGATATGGAAAACTAGGAACAACTGGTGTTTACAGGGGAGCTTTTTGAGGAAAATGTGGTGGTCACATGAGCTAGAAGAGATTGGATGGAGAGCTTGGGTGATACTGTTGTTGAGAGTCACAACCAGGAAGTAAAGACAAACGCTACTGAACTAAAGAGGAGGACGTTTCCAAAGGGGTAGGACTAGTGATTTTTACTGTCAGTGCCCTAACTTCTTCTTCTGGCAAGGTAGGCATTGAAGGAGTGGCAAGGGTGAACAATGCTCAAGTTTTTGCAGGTAACACAGTGTTTGATTGGGCAGCAAATGAAGAGGAAGCTTTATTGTTGGCAGTCAGGTGGCAACTATAGGTGGCAGAGGCACAAGGATGGGACAAGTACTATGTTTACCGAATTCTAATTCTAAGGATTTAGTGTACAAATTGAATGATATATATGTATTCCCAACTTCTATTTTTAGTGTGGCCTCAAATGTGTTCCTTGTTAAAGCTAAAGTTTTGGTTTGTACTTTTAGTCTGAGTTCTGTTTGTTTGAGTAGTGATAGATTAGCCATGTTGGCTCTGGATGAAAACCAGTATTTGTTGCTCTCGTGAACTTGTAATCAGTTGATTATCCGTCTGTAATTATTTGAGGTTTAATGTTATTATGCTTCGTTTGAGAAAAAAAAAAGAAAAAAAAAAATCAGATCCATATCCGATCACACCCTAAGCATTTGTAATTATCCCATACATGTGACCGCAACAATTTGAACACATTCACATTTCACTATCAGTTGTTCATAGGAACATGCGTGATGCTTCGAACTTCAGTATGTACATTTCCCGACTCATAACCATGCATGGTAAGTAAAACTTTGTTGTTCAACTAATCATGCACCGAGCTTTGTTCCTAATTAGCATTAGAAAGCTGCCATAAAATCATTCAAACCAGATATCTAGAAAAGACCAATGTCAAGCAAAAAGCAGACACCCTGCACAAATCAGCTAGTAGAGAGAGAGAGAGAGAGAGAGAGGCTGTTTCAGGTAAAGCCATGGAAGTTCGATTTTCCTGGTGGTGACTCACGTGATGATTGGCAGTTGGCCTAAAAGGTTCAGGGTTGTTATCCATGGGCACAAGGTCAAGTCCCACTGGTGAATGTGGCTGTGGTAGTCAATGCAACTTCTGCATGTCATTTGATGGAATATCAGCAACAGCATCAACAATAGTACATAAATAATATACAATCCAGTGTTGGTTATAAGGGTCGTACAGCTAGACTTGCTGAATGATTTGAAAAATTACGCAAGAAACTGACTGCTAAATTGAGTTTGCAAATATTTTTGAGGTGAAACAGAATGGACATATTTGGGAAATTCAGAAACTGAATATTGGCTCCAGGCCATGATTAAAGGCAACTAATCCAACTGTTTCCAGGTGAAGGTTGCCGAAACCTTTACTTTTCAAATTATGGATCTTTCAGTTTCAAGAGATGTTATGAAGATATCAAAATCATATGAGTTTTGCATTTGATATCCCCACCTTTTGGTGACATTCTTAGGAAGAAACTTTTATCAAGGGCGATCAGATACTCTTCACTGAGAAACAAAAAATTCTCAAATGATATGTATCAATAATAATAGCACAGATACCTCTCTGAATTCCAGGGAGTCGAGAAGACTGGGGATACTCGGGGCTTAAAGCTGTAGGCAGTTTCTGATTCATGACAGCTGCAGTCTTTTTACCATCAAGTACATTCTTTCTCAAAAAATACTTTAATTCAGCATCGACAAGTTTCAACTTGTATTTTCTGTGCACTTGACCAGTAACTTCTTGCATCTCCTTTTCACGATCAGTTTCCAACTTCGAAATCTACTTGAAACAAAAATATAATGTTATGGGACACAAAAGTCAGATGTTAGGAATAAAATACCATCAGCAGCAAAATTTAAACACTGACTGCTTCTTGGAAGTTCTTTTCCAAAATCTGTCCAGTACGAGAAGACTCGTGCGGAAGTATTTCAGTCTCTGCACCCTTGGTCATTCGAGAAGAGTTTTCTTCAGAGACATAGCTTTGATTTTCTATTTCAACAGCCGTTGACTGCCTTGTGCTGGACGCTACATTAGTTGACACATTGGTTGGCTGCACAGAGTTCTCGATGGCTTGTGCTGAATTTATATTTTCGACTGGGTCAACTTCAAATTGTGAAGTATTTTTATCTTCTGCTGCCCGTGGAACTTGGTCTTGCAATTCCACAAACAAACTTCTACGGCTTTGATCTTCTAGCACCTGCACTAGAATTTTATTTGTTACACCAGCATAGTAGAAAACGGAAACATTCTCTAGAATACACTAAAACTTGAAGGGGAAAAATTTGGGGAACTCATACATATTCCTGCACAACGTAGTATTTTATGAACCAAAAAAAAACCCCCCAAAAG